CACGTCCTTTAGTGGACGTGGTTTTCGTATGTTAAAAGCAGACGCTTAACGCGACACCTCAGGTATGACGTAGACCATAATAAAATATTATAATAATACGTTCTAAGAATTTAAATAGGGGAGGTGAGCACTCCTACCTTAGAAAATTTTGAGATCTCTCTCTCTCTAGCCGAATTTTATCGAAGTTCCCTCTCAAATATTTGTGGGTAAGTGACATCGTCTTCTCGAAAATTAGTCTATTTTTAATAAATAGTGATATTTCCTTCTAGGATCTTTATTTTATCAGTTTTATGTGTAAGTGACCTCATTGTCTCGAGAAATAATCCATTCTTTTTAAAAATAAAATGAAATAATTATTTCTGCTTATTATCATGAATTTTAGGCACGATAAATTTTATGCGCACACGACCTCATTATCTTGAAAAATAATATTTTTAATAAAAATTGTGATATTTTATCTATGTTAGAAATTTTGAATGCTGTAAATTAAAAAAATAAATTTATTTATTTTTCTTGTTTATTGTTAGAAATAAATGTGATATTTCTGCTTTTAGTAAAATTGTGATATTTCTTTCTACTGTTTTGAATATTTAGACATTGTAAAATTTATGTGCAAATGACTGCCTTATTATTTAAAAATTGACATTTTTGCAATTGATTATAGTATTGTTGTGAAATGTTTATTTGTGGATTGATATCCCATAAATTGTGATAATTTCGTATTCTTGAATTTCTATAAGAGTTTTTCTATACATATTAAATTGGCAATTATGCTAGAATTCCTTTACAAACTGCAACCTTTCTAAATTTGAGCCCAAAATATTTGATTGGTTATTTTTGAAATGTTATAAAGAGTGACTGTTATTAATGGTTTAAGTGAAATTCATATTAATGATTTCAGTGATATGTTGAGTACATGATATTGTTGCTTTTGAATGTTTAAAGAGATTTAGAAATAATTTAAGTATGCAAGTAGACTCATCCGGTTCGCTGGTGAGGTATAAGTGGACCTATCTAGGACGCCGGTAGGGATTAAGTGGACTCATCCGGTACGCCGGTGAGGTATAAGTGGACCTGCAGGGATTAAGTTGACCTATCTGGGACGCCGATAGGGATTAAGTGGACCCATCAGGACGCTGATGGGGTATATAGGTGACCTACTTGGGACGCCAATAGGGTATTTTGTGAAATCCTTTTAATTATGTACTGCCGTTAAAATTGTTATAAGCATTTCAATTACTCGGATTATACTTAATTATGCATTTATTGAAAGTGAAACTGTTGATGCATTTCTGTTAATAGATCTCATTTTGGAAAATATTGATATCTTTCAAACATGATTATTTTGGGGATTATGATGATCACTTAATGAGTAGCCAAACTCATCAAACTATGGTAAACATTTTTCAGGATAACTGCGGATTCATTTTGAATGCTAGTCAAGATCAACCTTGGAAGATACTGTTGTTGTGCTAGCTTTCTTTATTTACTTTGTAAGACCTCGCCACTGTAAATTTGTCCTATCAATAGATGTATATATGTTTTGTCCGTCACATCTCAAGAATAACAGTATTGTAAATTCTTGGGGTGTGACAATTATGGTATCAGAGCAATAGGTTTAAGATCCTTAGGAAATTTAAAAAGAATGTACTTAAAAATCACATTTATTGTGTGTACAGACCGGAATAAAGTCAAGATCCAGAATAGCTGAAGCCAATATGGAAGGAATTCACAAAGCCTTGGAAAATATGGTTGCTCTAATGCAACATCAGATGGAAAACAACAATCCACCCAGGCAGTCAGTTACAGGAAATGGTGGGAGCAATATCGAACAATTTAATAAATTAAACCCACCTTCTTTTAAGGTTGCTGTAAACCCACTGGAAGCCGAGGG